TTACACAAACATTGTTTGAACTCACCATTTTTTTTTTTTTTTCGTTTTCACGCATCACTACTGATTTTACTCGTATACGAGTTATGTTCTCGCCAAAACGAGCGTGGCGTCGATTAACGCGATTGGCAATTAGCTTTATTAAAAGTAAATAGTCCCACGAGCGAGAGTTAATTTCATTTTACGGAATTTTTGCGAGTCCATCCTCGAACGCCGCATATTATTAAAACTCCCATCGCCCGTACATGCCGCGTCCTCGAGTGCTGGAGTATCGCCAAACTCACCCTCCCCTTTCCCTCGACTCGTTCCATTCATTCCGGCATGAGTGCCTCGAAAAATAACTTAATAAATATCCTTTCTCTCTCTTGTATTACCGAAATTGGCTCGTATACAACGCGTACCTCCCCCTCTAGTTTTTTTTTTTTTTTTTTTTTTCCACCAAAAAGCAGCAACTCAGCGTGAAACGCCACACCGCAGGCAACCACCGAAAATTACAAACCCCATCTCAGCTTCCTGGCGTTCGCAAAACAGCCTAATAAACGATAATATTGCACGGTGACAACGAAAAAAACAAAACAGGATACACAAGGGGTAGGGGCATCCTCGGCAATATTGCAGTCTCACGAGATGTGCGGGGCTCACGTCGCCTCGCAGGGGACTTCCGGCGCCACGTACATACGCGCAGGAGGGCGCGCGAAAACAATGGAGGAGCTGGGGCAGGTCATTATCTTCCAAAAGGGGAGGGAAGCGCAACTACAAGCTCCCCAGCCCGCGCTCGTCACAAAAACATGTTGTACCACCTGTATAACGATGGTTTTCAACCTTTCAAAAATATTACTGCAACGATTCGTTCCTCGGCGTCGCGGCACATGGGACCTTTGACCCCAGAATCACCCACATCGGTAAATAACGTCCTGTGGATATCGGAGATAACAGCAGGCAACAGAAAGTATACCCGACCGCGGCTTCCCTTTGGATCCCGTTTTTATTTTTCAACTTCCAGACCAGTGTACACGTACGCTATGATTTCTCTCTGCACCAGCGCTTAGCCCTTCGTCAGCAGTATAGAGAGAAAAAAGCAAGCGTTAACCAGTGGGGCTGTGAGTGCCGTACCCTAGCCTGCGTAAGTTGCTAGACGATGGCAGATCGAGTGGGGTACCTTTGACACGATGCGATTCAACGAGGCTGTTATTTCATTTCGTTGTTTGGTCAAACGTCATTTAGGGACGATTTTAACAGCTGGTAGGAAGAAAAAAAAGAAATAGAAGAAGAGGAAGAAGAAGGGTTGGGGAAAGTAGGCGATGGGCGCATTACCAAGTACAGTTGTAGACTCGAGAGGTGGTGTGCGAAGTCAAACGCAAGCTCTCGAGGATGGAGTAAATAAATCGAGTCGGAGCTGCAGGCGTACCGAGGGTGCAGCCCATCTTTCTCCTTTGGGTCAATTATTCACTCGGTGCCCCGATATAGGTGAGCGCGCGAGGTGCCGCGGATGTATTTTTACACGTGAAGGATGAATTTTCCCCTCATTGGTGCGGGGCGACCAGGCTCGGTACGCCCTTGCACCGGCAGCCAAAGGCACAAGTTTCGTTTTGGAACAGTTGGCGCGTGAATTTCCGCGTGATTAATTTTCAATTTCAAACTTCGACCCCCTCCCCTTTGAACCCCTTGGTGGATTATTGTTTGTTGGGCTGTTTTTCTACCCTCCACCGCGTGGGTCTTCTCAAATTTTACTTCATTTTTGCGGGCAGGGGCTTACAAGTGCGGGGTGTCATTGTTGGGAACAAAAAAATAACAAATTCACGTGTCACTGGAGGTACTCCGCTCCTACGAGACGAATTTTGCATTTTGCTCGAATAAATATTCCATCGCTGAAAAATCACTTCCTCCCCTCGAGCCCGTCCGCTTCGGCCTTTTTCTATAATGGATGGCATTTGAAGACGCGAATCTGCAAGTTTATAATTACACTTTTTGTTCTGATTTACCGGGCTCTGCCAACTTTTTCCGCTGGCTTAAATAGCGAGTATTTTTTTTTTTTTTCTCCTTTCTCCGCTTGTCGCCGTTATAAAAGCTCGGAAATTTGTCATGATTTTGGTGTACCCTTCCCTCGGTACACACAATTATTTTTCCAACTCGCCATTCCTTCGATACCACTCGCACGATCCAACCGGTAGAAAAAAAAAAAAAAAAAAAAAAAAAATCCTCCCGTACACTCGATAGGTAACACTGCGTACAATGGCTAGACGCATTTTCACGACGTTCGTCCGTGTACACACGGAGGGAGGAAAAAAGAAGGAGAGGCCATTGAAACGATCATCTGCATTATTATGCCGTCTTTGCTATCTCTCTCTGTTTTCCTCCATACACGAGAAGAGAGAAAAAGATGATAGCCCTCCTCCTCCCTGTAGCCCGGCTCTGATCTGCTTAAAGGCTGCTCATACGTACGCTCGTACTACTGAAAACATTTGTTCCCCGACTTTACCTCGCAAAAGAGCTGTTCCCTCTTTTTTTTTTTTTTTTTTTTTTTGCTCCTCGTAGTTGTGCTCCACACATTGATATACTTTCCCTTCAACAAGATTCGGAGTATTATCCTCGTTGTTTATTTTTCGCACCAGTCCAGTCGCTGGAATTATTTTTTTTCCTTCCAAAGCCTCGGCACTAAATAATCCCAAAGCTGTTTACGGTAAGGAGATCGAGTGAAACGGTCTATACTATTGAACGCGAGTATGAAACAAAATCGATGGCTGTTGAACGATTTGCGGGTGAAAATACATTTTCTTTTTTTTTTTTTATTCCCGAAAAGAGAGAAAGAAATAAAATGGAATTCCCGCATCGGCGAGCATCCATGGAGGTGGAGAGGGTGTAATAACCATTTTCCCGTGTACGCGGCCCAGGGGCACTCGGGCGCACTCGGTGGACATACGGTCTCCCCGTACCGGGCCAATCGAGAGAGAGAATAATAGTTTTCGGGGAAGAACGAAATTTTTCATGGGTAAAAATCGCGCTCGCGTCACATTATACTACATACGCCGGAAAATCACATCCCGTTACTCTCTCGATTTGTAAAAACCAGGGGCGCCCTTCCCAATAACACAATTGGCCCTGATTTATTTCGGTGACGGTGTAATGTTTACCTGCAGTCCGAGCGTATATGTAACGTGTGTACACGCAGTTGGCAAAAGTTTTGGTTACCTACTAGTTTTAAGACGAAGCGGCCAAATGGATTTTAGATATACGTGTACGGGTCGGGTTCCACCGTTGGGGAATTTATTACACGCGATATCGCGAATACGGTGATGCAGGACCGACGAACCGACTGTACATGTATATATACCATACCGCATCGGGGCGGTGGAGGGAATGTTTCCGAACTAAGGCAATAATGCCGCGCGGATAGTTTGCGAAACTCGTCCCTTTATGGTTGCCCTGTCCCTGTGTTTTTCCCGGGCAGGTCACCACGAGGCTTTAGTATACACTATAGTGATCCAATCGGTCACGCGTGCAGTTTTATTGCGCTTGCTCGCACACACCACGAGGTTTACTTGCCAACTGGCGCTTCTTCCACTGTATACCTGAACCAACGAATCCCTCGAATATTAATTTCTCTCCTCAATACAGCCACTTACAGGTTTTTTTTGATTGGGAAAGCATTTATTTTTTACACCCCGTGGCTCCCCACTGGTTATTATTCCACGGAGGGCGATGGGGGGGGGGCAGCGGCAAACTTTTCCAAATCAATACGTTGCTCTTGCTTTTTATTTGCACGTATATAATATATATATATATCCATCGGAACGTTGGTAGGGTAGCCAGGTATTGTGTACGGTTCGTATGACTGCGCGTCACGTTTTTCCATCGTTCCCGCTGCGCTGGCTCTCGAGTACGGGAGGGAGCCTTTTATCTTCCATCTCGGATTTCATTTTGGTGCCGCGGGGCGGGGAAAACCGATACTTTTTTAATGTTTATACAATAGAGTGAGTCCCGACGCTCGACTCCTCTTTTGGCCTCTTTGTACATGTATGTATTATTAGGTTTGCAAGAATCCAAGTTAAAAGTGGCGTGATGAAAAAAAGGACTAAATCTTTCGGGGGCGATGATGGCCAGGGTATTAAGCAGTAGGGGGGGGGGGGAGAAATTTTCCGCAGTTTTAGCGTTTTCGCGTTGCCATTGGTGCCCCGACCCACTTTGGCCAACGCGTTTATTAACGACCAGAGCTAAAAGCGGTGCATAGCTAAGGGAATGTAATAAAGGGAGGAAGGAGGGAAAAATCCAAGAGCCATGTACACAATGACTCGGCGTTTATATATGGTTCTCGGGTAGTTTTGGCGTCTCATTATTATTGAGCCGCGGAGCGTTTCATCGGAGCAATGGCCAAACGGTAGGGAAATTATTTTCACAGCCAGTGGTGTTTATTCATCGGCTGGAAAGAGGAAGGGAAAAGCGAAAATCAACGAGGGCTCGCGTTTTTTATTTTCCAGGAGCTGGCGGCGTCGTACCGGGGGGAAAAAAAATTAATTTCCCCCTTCACCCCCAACTGCACGGGTAGAAAATTTTCCGTCAGACCATTACGGCGAAACGACAATTTTACCCTTGCGTAATATCGCCCGTACACGCCACGGTGTACGCGTGCGACGACAGGGCTGAGTTTGGATCTCGCGTCGTTTGATGGAAATAAGGCTTTCGCGAAAGTCAGCGCGCCACTGCTGCCGTTGAAAGAAGGGAATGAAAAGGAAAAAAAAAAGGATGGAAAAGTAGACGTCGCTCCTGGGAAATAAACGCCGGAAGACGAGCTCCCTCGTCGTGACTGCGGCGCCGCTGTCGCCGTTGTTGCGAGGAATCGGGAGGGGAAAGAAATTGAGGGAGTACAAATGGTCGGGAACGTCAAATTCATTTGCATCGGCTGAGGTGGACCAACTCGTCCGGCTGATGGGCTACTTTTTATTCGTTCGTCGCGTGTGCTCTCTCCCTTGCCAACCCTTTGCTTCCCTTAATTTAGACACGAGTGCCTAAAACGAGCTATCCTGTCCTCCCAAAGCATCCGCAGCTTCTTTGACACTCCGAGACTTTGACTTCCCCTCGGTTTGCTCCTGAAAACCATCGACTCGAGTGAAAATTTGTAGGAATAAAAAAAAGCCAGGCCATCGCGACTCACGTCGTCAGCCGTTCCAGCCGAGTCGGGGGTCCCGGGGGGCAGGGTGAACGCGGTCAGGAATTTCCGGCGATGGCGGGGAAAGTGACTGGCCACCGCTTCCTGGAAGAGCTCGGGTGCGCTGTCCATGATCCGCCGTCGGCGCGCCTCCTTCTCCTCGGCCTCGCGCTTCATTCGTAGCACCGGCTCCTGCCGTCGCTCCAGCTCCTCCTCGCGCAGGCCCTTCTTCGTCAGTATGGCTCGCTGCATGCGCTCCAGCTCCCTGCCCACCCAACGCTCCCGCGACTCCTCCACCAGCTGCTTGTACGTCTTTTTCTACGCACGGAAGGGACGGCGTTTTTTTTTTTTCCTTTTTTTTTTTTTCACTCGTCACGCATCGGTGGAACATTGTAGTATACCTTGGCCTTTGTCGCCCCGTCGGGTTTCTCCTCCACCGGCTCACGCTCCACCCCTGATTTTTCAGTGGTGCGCTTTTCTTCGGTCTCGGCCCGCTTCTCTTCCTCTTGCCGGGCAAATTTCAAGTCTTCCAGCTGCACTTACCCATCGGAGGGATAATTCCAGGAAGGGTGGGAAAAATAGGAGCTTTGTCTCACCCGGCTGATTTCGTTGTCAACGTAGCGGCGCATCCAGTCGAGGCTAGCGGGGTCCTCGAGCCTCGATGCCACAAAGATCCGGAAAGCCCCGTTGTGGTCGCAGATGCCCACGCACCGGGAAGCCAGGGGCAGCGCGTGCGCGTGCACGCCCGTGACCGCGTGCCCGGACAGGCTCTTGGTAGCGCTGGGCTCGTGGACCTTGACCATCAGGTCCCAGATCTCGACAGTGCCGTCGTCGCGGCCCAACAACACCGCGCTCTTCCTGCCCCCGTCCCAGCAGCAGCTCGTGTACCTTGAGAGTGAACAAAAAATGAGGATGGGGTACATGACTAGGGATTAGAGCGACTCACCCGAGTTCCGATTCCCTTTGGAAGATGGGCTCGTCAAAGTCGTCCCTCCAGATGGCGAACGAGCGACCACCCACGGTCAACACGAGGTCGTGCAGGTGGGGCGACCTCACCGCGTGGCTGACCGGGCCGTCGTGCGCATGCCGGAGCCAGAGCCACTTGGTGTTCTCTTTGTTGAGGGCCAAGCCCGTCGAGTACTCGAAGCCCTCCCAGGTGACGAGGCCGCACTCGCCCAAACCCGTCCCGACAAACACCGCGTCTACAATATGGACCCCGCACTGTCGAAAGGACACTCCAATCGGATGTACGGTCCGACAATTTTTTTTTGCTCACGCAGAGGGGACTGGTCATGGGGGTCCTTTTTCGCCAGTAGGTTGTACCACCCGCGCTTGGTCACGTCGGTCGAGCGTGTAATCGGTTCCTTCTCGAAGCTCGGGTAGCGCAAGCTCAGCGCGCTCACGGGGACGTTGCGCTTCGTATCGGGGTTCGTCACGATTAGCACGTACGTGGGCTTGTAGGTACCGTCGAGGCGGTTGTACTCCGATACGGGCTCCTCGGGGTCCCGTGGCGGCTTGACCAGGTTTTTCTTCTTCCTACCCTTGGGTTCGTCCTCGTCCTCCGGGGGCAAACTGGTAGCGCGCACCGGACGGTGGAGCTTGTTTTTTTTTTCACTTTCAATTTTGGAGGGGGTGACTTACGTCAAGTCCCAAAAAGCAATGGTGCCCTCGTTGCTCGAGGTAACGAACTGTTGGCTCAGGTCGGCCTCCGCGGTGTCCGCTGGTAGATCCTGGACCATGCCTCTGTCGTTGATCTTCCGGTATGGTGACAGCCACTCGATCTTTGTGACTCTATCCGTAGGGCTGTCCCTCGAGCTGGACGTTGCCGCTTGCCTCACGACCAACGCGTCGCGTCGCTCCTGCATTTACGTCAATTTTTTTTTTTATCCTTATTTTCATTTTTAAGGTTTCATTACCAGGAAGTGGGCCTTCATCTGGGCTTCGGTTCGCACGACCGGCCGCTCCGCTTCCTCGATCTTACCGGCTATGTCCCAGATGACTACCTACGTTTTTTATTGCCAGTTAAATTTCACCCCCCCAAGGCTCGAATTGTCTTTGGTTTTATCGATGATATTAATAATTCGACACTAATAAATCCTTTACCTGACCGTTGTCGCAACCACCGATGACGATTTTGCTGTTGCGAGGACAAAACGAGACGGACGTTATGAGCGCCTTTGCCTCGAGAACGAGTTTTGGCTTGAGGGAGTCGTCGAACGACCAGACGAGTACTTGATTGTCGCTCAAAGTACACTCCTGAAAAGGATTTTTTTTTTTTTTTCAAAGTGCCCATATTCGAGCAAGCACTGGAAGTACACGCAATGGAACCTTTTTACGCGACTTGCCCTCGACGATTTTCGGCGTGTAGACCGCGGCCATGACTCCCGTCCACTATCGAGATTCACAATGTAGGGATGGAGAAGAGCAAGATGTAATAATACATAGGAAGTACGAGTCGAGGACCACCTGGGGATGCCAACTGAGGTCGCCAATCACCCGGTCCCGGCACAAGTTGCCCTCGTAGTAGATCTGCCGCTCCTCGTAGCTGACCAACGTCCTCGTCACCTTTGCTTCCGATCGCTCCGCCAGCTCGGCGTAGTCGCTCTTGTACACGTCCCACGTCGCGTTGGCGTGCACCTCCAATAATTCCTTTAGATACCGTTTTTTTCCTTTGTTTCCCAATACATGGATAAAATAGGCACCTCGTAGCACATATTCTCGATCTTGGCTTTGATGAATTTCTCGAGCTCCTTGCGTGTCTTCTTGTCGTTGGGGTCGACCATAGGTGCCCCGGACTCCCGGTCGAGGGTGCACTGACTCCACGCGTTGACCCGCACGGCCGTCTCGGTTTGCGCGTCGTTAGTTTTTATCCTCGGCACCGCCCTCGAGCCCTTATCCACGAGTATCTTTTCGACGTTGGCAAAGATCTCGCGGTGCGGCACCACCTCCACGTAACCATCGCGCCGATCTTCGCTCCTCACGCTGACCAGATGGGCGGGCAGCTTCAGCTGCTCCACTTTCGTTTTCATCTGCGCACAATTTTTCCTTTTTTTTTTTCCTCTTCACAAGGTAAAAAAAAAAAAAAAAAAAAACCCGCCATGTCACAGGGGGGTCGTCGGGGGCAATATGGGAATTATAATCACGGGTCACCGGGAAGGGGGAGTAATAAAAGTGACCGAGCGCCCCGTATCCCCCGGTGTCGCGAAATTTACGGCTCGGCCGCGGCTCCGCGAAATTTATCGCATCGACCGGAAATTGAATTAAGCCGAGCGTCTTCTTCGCCCCCTCTTTTCGGAATAGAGGAGGGGAAAAGGGGGAGGGCAATTTACATACGAGCACCTTTGGGCTTTATTTTAACTACCGATCGAGCAAACGGAAGGGAGGAAGAAAAAAAAATGGCCCCACCTCGATATCGAAGAAGGGCCGAGTTGGCTTGACGATAGCATCATCGACCACGGCAGCGCTGCCCCACTCGATCCAACTTCGGGGTTCCTTGAACACTGCGGCGCGCACCCATTCCTGCTGCTCGCGCCTCAACTCGTCTATACGGCGCTCGACCTCCTCGCGGCTCCGTTCCGTCAGGCATATGTAAAATTGTCCCTCGTTGGGATCGATTGTGGGCGCGTAGCCCACCAGCACCTCCGGGGCACGGTAGCGCTCGATTTCCGGCTTGACCGGCAAAAAGTCGCTGCTCTTGGGATGCAGCTCGATGTTGTCCTCGATTATCTGCCGGCGCACGTACACCCACGGGTACTCGGTCGTCACGTTCTCGTCTATCACGCAGCCGATGATCTTTTGCGTGAGAGGTGACAGGCTCAGCCGAGCCACCCCCGGGACACCCTACATAGCCGAGGTGTATGCGCTGTGTATATTGGAAGGGGTTGGAGCGGGAAAAATTCAAGACCAACCATGGAATCGAAGTAGCGGTCCTCCCATCCTTGGTCCTCCGGTAGATCGGAGCCAGTGGTGCTCGACAGCATGGCGTAAGAGGTCGAGGTAGAGTTGTCGGTCTGCCGTAGCTGGCTGCTCGTGCCCGATGCTGATGCGTTATCATCATCATTGTTGGAGCACACGTGGAAAATTGGGGGATGGGGTTCTGTGTTCTCTCACCTTCGTATCCATCGCACCAGGAGCCGTAGTACACATCGTCGTCGATTCCCTTGCGAGCGTAGTAATCTTCATCGTCGGCAGGGCGCGACTCCTTGGTTTCGATGTGATCCTCCGAGTTACCGTGGCTCATGTTCTTCAAATGATCTCTTTATTCAATTCGTTAGGTGGTCACGCGGCTTTTTAACCTCAAAAACAACGATACTCGCTATTTGCAGCAGCTGCAATGGTTGCTCGGTTATAGGTTACTTTCCCGCAAGCTCTGCTCTTCCTTTTGTTTTATTTTATTTTTTTGGCAAAGTAAGATGAATTATCATCAGCAATTAAGACTGTTGCTTTTTACACCTCAGCACAGAGATATTTATATACCTACTCGTGTGTACACTTACGGCTCGATTCAACTTCTTCGCCCACCACTGACATGTATCATTGCGAATATCATTATTTCATTGCCAAGAAATCTTGTATGGCTTTTCCAACGAATTAAAAATACACTAGTTTACGTTTATCTGATCATTAACGATTAGAAAAGACAAAATCAATGAATGGTCATGCAAGAAAACGACCTATATTCAATAAGATTCATCATCGCGCGCTGCACTGCCAAAACAGCTCGACGTCCGAGTATAAAATTTACACCCATAGAGTTTGCTCGCAACCGATTGATCATCGGCGTAAAATTCACTTTTCAGCTACTTGCTCGAATCTGCAACGTGAAAGAAAGAAAAAAAAAAAAACAAAAAAAAAAGGAATCCAGCTCCACGTTTGAACTTGGGGACACCATGAAAACAAGCTAGCTAAATATTATTTTCCGTGTAGACAACAAAATAAATAAAACGTAGGTATGCATGCTCACGCGATACAAGCCCAGTTTTGAGCTAATTACGCCGTAAGGTAAGAAAAAAAAAAAAAAAAAAAAAAAAAAAGTCAAGAAACAGAGGGGATGGAGACATATGGGTCAAAAGAGGAAGCAGGAAGGAGGGGAATAAAGATAAACAGCCAACTCTCCCGGACGCTTGCATATACACATATATACATACAAGTACACGTCATAGAAGGAGAAAAGCTGCGAAATCGTATCCCGAAAACTAATTTCAGCCACTACCGCTGCCTAACGTATATGTATAGGTACACACACTCACACAACTTCTCCGAACCCACGCACTTACGGTCAGCTCTGCTTTTATCTTTTTCTCTCGAGAGTCGAGCTCAAAAGCCGACCAGCGTGCACGAGAGAGATAAAATCATCCTCAAAGAACTGGAGCAGGTTGCACACCCGTACCCCTCGAGGGAGCCCCTTTTGACAACTGTAGCTGACGAATGGGGAAGGGTCGATTGGCGGAGGTTCGTTATACTATAATCAGCGAAAAGTTTCGCACGCCTTACATCTCACGAGGATGGCTAGGTAGGCCAGGCGGTGATTCCATGCATCACCAAATAAGGTACTTTTTTTCTTTTTCTTTGTTATGTACCTATACCCAATAGTCGGGGATGACGGCGGTTTTATTGGTACCATGTTGTACACACGTCCCTCGTTTTTATTCACGTGCCCCCCTCCATCCTTCATTTTTCAGCTAAATTGGTCAGTTATTATACATATAATACATGCATGTGTGAGTATACACGGAGAGCAAGCGGGAGGGGTTGGGCGAGAGGGGGGACGCGATTAAAAATAAGTAGCTCATTTTGATGGATTGCGCGGACCGAGACGTGAAATTTACTCGGTTGGGTGGAACAGGCTGGTATCGATTTTTGTTTAATTGCCACCCCTTCCCTCGAACCCGAGTCATTTGCTTTTTGCATGGTTTTACAGTAAATACAGCGGTTACTATTGTTAGCGTTACAAGGAGATGAAATGGAACTGCCATGTTTTTTTTTTTTTTTTTTTTTTTTTTTTCTTCCGAATAATTTGAGAGAAACAGGGAAATGTTACTGAATACTAAAGTGGACTGAATCAGGTCACCGAGGATACCCTCACTGGTTATTTTACATTCACTCGTCTAAAAGAAAAAAAAGTGAATATACCTGAGACTGACTTTTCAGGCCCAATAACCAAATGTAATCGATACGCGCAAAGAGACTTGTTTTTTCCCTCGCGGAGCTCTCGTCGCGAACATTGTCCTATTGCCCAGCGCATGCAAAGAGAAAAAACGCGAAACAAAGAGCCGCAGACAGAGAGTAGGCGCGTGTATATACAATAGAACCTGCATAATGTCTCGCTCGGGTTATAACGGCACGTTCGCGGAAACGATATTACGTCACCCCTCCCGGGCTGCAGCGTGCAATCCACCTCCTTTTCTTCCACACGTACACGCCCGCAAAAGGCACGAGGTGGCGTTTCGCTTCTCTCTCGCGGCTTACTCCTTTTCTTTTCCACCCTCCCCGACTTTTCCTCTCTCTCTTTTTTTCTTTTCGTGCGAACGCACATGAAAGGGCCTGACCCCAAAAAGCACCCCCGACTCGAGATTTTTTAATTGAGTTTGCCCCCGATTTCGAATAGCAGTCGAGGCTAATGAATTTTCACTTGTTTGCCGCTATTTCCTGCCTACAGCTTTACACGTGCAGCTACAGCTTTGGGGGGGTGGAAAGGGGTATAGCCCTAATTTCATGGTTGTAAAAGTACAACGCGCCAAGCGCGTCCAAAAAGGAATGGAGCGGGGCTTTTTGTCAGTTTTGGTGTAACGAATGAAAAATGGAAACGTCGATTGCGACATATAACGACGCAAAAACAAGCCCTACGTGTATCCACAGTATACGTAAATTCGCCAACTGTATAGCGGTAGGGGGGTAAAAAGGGACCGGCAATCTGATTCGGATCGTTTGTAATTTCGGGGCTCGTCCGCATAATGCGCAATAATTTCGCCGGTAGCAGCACTGGCCCGTTGTAAATACACGCGCGCGAGTTCCCCCTCCTCCTCGAGCTAATCGCATGCGAGTACAATTGCGTATACGGGAGGGCAAAATCACGCGATAACGCCCCGTGGGCGGCGTAAACCATCGTCGCGCGAATTTTCCGCGAGCAAACGTTTGGGACCGCATAGGCAACGCGCGATGGACCCTCGGCGCGAAATCATTGTTGCCGAGAATTTGCCAGTGATGTGATTTTTGGACCGGACGCTGTTTACGTTGCAAAGAGCGGTGATTTGGTGTACAGTCGACGGGAAAGTGCACCGGTGATGGGGGTCAAAAAAAAAAAAAAAAAAAAAAAAAAAAAAAAAAATACCGGGCTCTGGCAAATCCCGAGTACATACGGGAATACTCGAGTTTTGTGCGTGCCCGCGCTTAAATTTTCGGACGAGTCTCGTTCAAACAGAGGATCTTTGCCGCCTCCTGCTTTTCCCAAAAGTATTTCCACCCGCTCGGAGGAATCGCGTCCGCAAAAGGGCTTGCGTGGCTCCGCCTTGAACTTTGAGTTTGAATTTCGTCGGCTGAAAGAGAGCTCAGCTGAAAAATTCCCCGCGCCACACTTCAAACTCCATTTTAAACACGCGCGGCCGCGCTCGTACAAAGTTATGAGGAATTTCAATTTGCAAGCTCGCAGCCGCAAGCTCTCTCTCCTTTTTTTTTTTTTTTTCGGATATCTGGTGAAAATAGGGGCAAACGCGGTATACAAAAAGTGGTGGCAAAATAGCGAGAGCTCTGCAGCTGAATCGCCGAGAATACCGTAAACAAACCATCAGCGCTGCTTTTCATACCAATCTTCTTTCCGCACATTTGGCCACTTTTCTAATAAGAAGCAACAAGAGTCTCTATACCCCTGTGTTTTTGTGTTTAGCGTTGGCTATAGCAAGCAAATAGTAGTATCTGCGAGAAGCAAAGAACATACTAATGTAGAGAGAGAGGGGTAACTGCGTTGTCACTGTTGACGGGAGGCTTTGAAGCCCACGCTCACGCCACCGCTGTTGGACAATGTTAGCGAAGAGCACCAACACTACTTTTTTTTTCCAAGAGCTACGCCCGAGTGTAATTTTTATGACATTGCCACCCACGATTTTATACGCGAGCCACTGCTGATCCGTACGTATACACGTGACCATACATATATATATTAGAGCTCATATCCCGTATCATTTTTCTCGGTAAAAGTGGCCATAAATAACATTGTTACGCCCAAGTGAAGTTATATAAGCTGTAAAATATTTACTCTCGCTCCTTTCCTTCAATTTTAATTTATTGGGAAGTAAAAATAATATGTGTATCCCTCGCCTCTCTCATCGCTTTTTCTTCTTTTTTTTTTTAATCGGGAGCGCATACGTATATAAATACGTAACCCACAAGCGTCGACCTTTGCGATAAAAGTACCGTAATATCGGTACCGTATATGACGTAGGGAAAAATTGTACTTCCAATTACGGCCAATGCATCATATTGACCCTCACATATAGAGCAAAAGTCGATTGTGATCGTTATTATTATTATTATTATTTTCATAAGTCTCTTTCTAGTTCTACGTTAATGTGTCACAACAAACAACACGTAGGTCAGGCCTACCGATCCACGGATGCCTAGTTAATACCGATTTCCGAACTCTGAAATAACTAGACCAATTAGCACTCGCGTCTCACCCCTTTGATTTGTCTTCCCATCGTATACGTATGTACCATCGAACTTTGCCACTGTATACCTCGCAAACACATACGCGTATTGTTGCAGATTCCACAAAGTACCTTCCCCACATGTATATAATACATACAGATGTATGGTTGTACATGCATAATATATGTACACCCGCATCGAGCTCGTTCGCGCGGCCAAAGATTTATCGCACGACCGCGCTTCCTTTCCCTTTTGCTGTGTTGCGTTGTTTCGAAAGTTTCGAGGACATCCGCCATAGCAGCAGCTGGTTATTCATCCGGTTTCCAGGCTCGATTGAAATTAACTATATCGTGTTATACTTGATATAGATTTATTTTTTGATCGGTTGAAACGTGATTTTTTAACAGCTGAGCTAACTTTTATTCGATAGTATGTATCCAAAAGTTAAGAATATCACGAGAAAAAAAAAACAACATCATAAGATCGCGAGTACGGACATGTACGTTTGATTAGCGGGGAAAAAAAAAGTACGTATACAGTACACCGTGACATGTCCATTGTACCTGAAAGAAAATATAGGTCGATGATCTACCGTCG